ATATGTATACAAAAGACATGCCAAGATAATAATATTAAAATTATATAATGATTCAATGCGTCTAACAAAAGTTTTGTGTATATTCATGATCTCTCTTGTGCGGTTCATGGTAAAAAGAGAATTGTAAATGTTTCATAACATTTCATGAAATTTGAAACATAGATTGAAGATAACATAACATAATTATATTTACTAAAGCAAAGAGCTACAAGAACATGTCTTTACATTTAGAATATTAATAGTTATTGTTTTAAACAAAACTTCGTACTTAGATAGGTGGGGACTATATCATTCCTGTGATTAAGTTTTAAGTTAAATTTAACTTTCAAATAAATGGATTCGGCTATAATAGTATGTCATCTATATGAATTAATTTAACTTTAAATTGAAAGTATGATGCATAAATTGAATTTCAATTGTTATGATTCACATTATCATAATAATCTGATTATTATAGTAAGTACCTATTTGAATATCTATTAAGTTTTTTAAAGATTTTTCCATTAATATTAAGTATAACTGTTAGTTTAAAATATATATAATCACAATGAGCATAACACGAATAGACCTTATTAGGAATTTAATTTGGAATAATTCATAATTATTTAATAATTTATACACATTTTTCCGATGACAAGAGTAAAAAATATTTCAATTATTTCTTACGAGTTGTAGAACATATATTAAATTGGTTGTTAACAGTGTTAACAGAATTATTTCGATCCGTTTAATTACCTGCATAATTGTATTTACTACACCATTAAGTACAAAGTTGAAAACTTTTATGTACGAGTATATTTATGTGTAATTTATATAATAACTAAAATTTCGTATCTTTGCACACGGCAATAAAACATTTTAATTTTTAAACTTAATGTTAAAAAAATAATATAAATTTAAAAATATAAACTGTTACTATTACATAGATTTATAACCCTTAGAACAAGTAGTTTGTCGATTTTTTATTATTATAATTAATCCATAGTTCGATTACATTTTTGGGTAAAGATTCCGGATCTGAATATCACTGATCTTAATATTAGTTGTATAAATAACAAAAATTAAATGTTAAATGTAATCATATTTTCTATTTTATTTTATACTCATAATTAAATTTTATACCGATTGCCATTTGGACATATCACATAGAGTGTCACGTTTACAGGACCGTTTACCGTTTAAAGCCTCTCATAAAGAATTTGACCCTTATGTGCCAAAAGCGGGAAATTGTTTTCAACAGCAAATCACTCAGTGTAAATGGCAATTTCTAGCGGTTGTTGAATACTCTAAAAAGGGGAACTAACTGAGAAAGGAAGAAAAGTACTTAAGCTCCTCAGTAGCATTTATCGTGCACAAATTATTTTTACTTAACAAGATATCGCCTAAGCTTAATACTTGCATTTGCATACAGTTGTATCTATAATATTAAAATATATGCTTAATGTCGTCTAACATACTAAATTACAATTTAAAATTTAAATATTTTTTTGTATATTTTTAGATTTTGAGCTGAAGAAGGAATATACCTCACAATGATTATATGATAACAAATTAATTTAGCAAGATATTTTACTGATTATGTTTTCCTCATAACAAAATAGAAATACATCATTTTACTTTTATTGGCATTATAATCATTAAACATTTAACATTATATCTTGTATAAATGATCTGTGTTTATTGATTTTAAAATCTCAATTTGAATTAAAATGAGAGACAGTTTTAAGTACCTGATTAATAGTTTATTATTAACGAAGCAAGTTGAAAATAAACCTCGTTTAATTAACACTAAAAAGCTACACAATAGAAAACTACAATACTTTTTTTTTACATTATTGTTTTATAATTGATTTATTCATCAAAGGAAAATCATTAATATGAAACAACTATGTAGCAGTATTTATTTCCTCTCGAATATTTATAATTTAATTAAAATTTTATACTTATTAGACTCGAAAAAAGTACGCGGCCACGTAGCCATGAGTCTCGGGAAAAGTTGAAATTACAATTTTGCTGCAGACAGAAATATCTTAACGAACTCAACTAAATTTTTATTAATGGGTATGGTTATAAGAGTCTCGAAAATCCAAATTATTTATAATTAATGATATGCAAGGAGGTCAGTATGCATATCGATACATTTTCCCTAAACAAAACCTTTTACTTATTTCATTATAAATGCAGTCTATAACCACTAATAAAAGAATTTTTACATCCGGCGTTGTGCATTAGTATAATTGATACTAGTCACGTAATCCAATACTTTCTGTTGCAATTAGAATTTATTACTAATTAATAAAATTAATAAATGTAAACATAAAGTTCACGAAAATATATATATATATATACGTATAATATATCATACATTTATACTTCTATATTTATACATACATCACTCTTATAGACATATTTTATCAGTTAATTTATTTTGCAATAAACTAAGGTTGATAAAGTAACAAATTTTGCGGAAGGATCGTAACATATTTACACCGATCGGATGTAACAAATTGTTATAAAAATTCATCTTGCTATTTTCATTATGCACATGACATACAGAAATAAATCGTCTGAGAGATAAGTCCTGGGATGAAACTGACCACGTGTAGAAAAATAATAGTAGGATATAAAATAAAGACATTTCTTGAACAATGTAGACAGTAATAAATAATAAAGGGATTCAAACCAATTTTTTTAATGCGATTCCGACGTTTTATCTTATACCTACGTTTGACGCGATTATTATAATATTTATGGGTGTAAAGGATAGTACCATATTTTATTAAATTTTATTTTAAAAATGTATAAGTATTTTTGTGTTTATTAGGTACTACTAGATGCTTTTAACAAATAAATAATAATAAATAAATAAATAATAATAATAATAATAATAATAAAAATAATCACACCATTTTATCAAATTCATTATTTTTATGGTTCCAACTTAATTATTATTATTCAATTTTTATGAATATTAGGCGTAATTATGAAAATTTAAAAAATCGTGTTGATACCAAATTATCCATTAAATTGTTGGTTTTAAATATATATTCTTAGCCTTTATACAAAAGTGACATAAAAACAAAATTAAAATTAATTAAAGTCCAATTATTATTTTTAACTCTATCAAATGGAAATATTCAACTAACTGTGTAAGTATTAGTTTGAGAAATTCAATTGCTTTGATTTTTAATACTTATCAGAAGACTTGTAATTCAATTGCCAACATAGTGTAGTATACGTACAGTTAATATATGTATGAATCATAAGTATTTATAGTAAATATCATATTTATTTATTACACATACGAGATTTTTATTTTTTATTTTTTCCCTTCATCCAATTAAGCGAAAGCCAAGAGAGACGTGTTGTGTTACTAGTATAAATAAAATTAAAAGACTTATCGCAAAAAACTAAAAACCTATATAACGATAGACGTAGCTCTATAAACACGAGAAAACGAATTGATAAAAAATAATATAATGAAATGACAAATCCAATATTGTAGTTATTTTTTCCCAATCATTCGTACAAAATAAATGTATGCGACGAAAAACTTGCTGCAGCAACCGCCACAGCGTTCACGAACAATTGTCAACGGTATCGCTTCGGGTATATTTCGCATTCCGCCGTTGCTGTGCACGTCTCGATGCAATAATATACAATACTTTGCGGGTACCCCGCAGGACGGCCATATCGCCGGCGCAGGAGTAGGTTACACTATAAACGGGATCATTAAAAGTTATTACGCGGACAAAATGCACGGTTAATGATGCCGTTAGGATTCCAAAAAATCTATTGTTATTCGAAACGAGGTCGTCTAACGACTGCATTGGTCCGGTAGATAAGCAACAACAACGCAGGACCGGTGGTGGTGGAGTTGGCGCGTTGGCGGTGGCAAATGGCCCGGCGGCAAGAGCACCGCGGTGCCGATGTAGCTGTCATCTTAACAAAACAAAAGGGTTTTAATGGCTTCGACCGCGTTACAATTTATCGGATGGATAACGGTACTCTGACTTGTAACCATAGGCGCCGACTACACGGGGGCAACGGGGGCAATTGCCCCTGTACTTTAATTTTAACGTGGGCGTTGCCCCCGTTCTTCGATTTTAATGGGTGGTTAAACGTAGAAACAGCACTTCGCTTTTGTGAAAAAAATTATTTGGTTATTACTTATTATTATAAGCTATTGAATTTCGATATCGATATGAAATTGTTTATCAAAAGGACAAATTAACTAAAAATAGCTGAACATAACTCATAAGATACCACAAATTATAGATAACGTATAAGTACATTTATATATATATATATGTATAATGTATATAGCTCCAATTAGAAATGCCTAATAGTCACGGTAATGACGAAAGACTTGTGTGATAACTATATATGTACTTTATACACATGCACAAACTGAAACTTAATAACAATATCTTTAGTTGGAATTATTTATAACCTATACTATGGTATTTTCATTTCTTCTAAATTATATTGACTATTCTACATTTATACAGTACTGATAACTGAATACTGAGTATTACATTATGTAGTTCAGTAGTTGATCATTTTACTGTCGTTATCCATACGAAGCATACGTGCTTTATTCGCAGATTGAAGTCACTAAGGTAATTTATATTTTCTTTATAGACCATATTATTTAATATATGAGTTAAAAATTATTTAACTTTTGAAGGGCATACCAAATAAGTAATTCAGACACAAAATAATTCATTATGTCTATGTGGAAGTATGTACAAAAAAAAACTATTCCGAAAAACAATTCTGATTCTAATAGCCTTATTAATTCTGATAATAGTTTATCTTCATCTACTTCCACTTCTAACATAAATTTAAATTGTGATAATCAAATTGACTGTGGAAATAATTCGTCCTCCAAAGATGTTTCAAAACAAAGAAAATTTTTAGCATCTTGGTTAAATAAATACGACTGGTTAGAACATAATAAAATCGATGATAAAGCTTTTTGCAAATTGTGTAGATCCATGAGTAATAATAGTAATAATAATGTTTCTGTATTTATTTCCGAGGGTTTTAATAACTGGAAAAAAGCTGTTGAAAGGTTTAATATGCACGAAAATTCAGAATTGCACAAAACTAATGTAGTTAAAAACTCTTTTATTAAAAGAAATGCAAATATATATGCACAAATATCGGATAGTCATAAAAAGTCTATGGAAGAATCTAGATTAGCTCTTGATAAAATAATATCTTCAGTATTTTTTTTGGCAAAACAAGGCTTAGCATTAAGAGGGCATACAGACGAATCTGCAAATTTAAATCAGTTATTAAAACTTCGATCGGAAGATTCGACTGAATTGAATAACTGGTTAGGTAGAACAAAATATAAGTGGATTTCTCACGATATAATTAATGAAATTCTTAGCATGCTGTCATTAGAAGTCATTAGAAATATTATCAAACAAATTAAAGAAAACACATTTTATGCCATTTTATTAGACGAAACTAGTGATATTACTGTCAAAGAACAAATTTCGTTTTGTTTAAGAACAGTGGACAAAGAATCGTTGGAAATCGAAGAATATTTTATGGGTTTTTACGAAACGCCTAAAACAGATTCTGATACTCTTTTCAAAATTCTGAAAGATATTTTGTGTAGATTGGAATTAGATTTTTATAATATTAGAGGACAATGTTTTGATGGTGCTAGCAATGTTTCTGGAATTCATAAAGGATTACAAGCTAGAATAAAAGAAATTGAACCAAGAGCATTGTTTGTTCACTGTCAAGCTCATTCTTTAAATCTTGTTACCCAAGATAGTATGCGAAATGTAAAAAATGCTAGAGATGTACTAAATTTTATAAGAGAATTAATTACATTTATTAAACAATCACCTAAGAGACTATCTTGGTTTAAAACGAATCAAAAAGACGAAAATATGACATCTCTAAGACCATTTTGTCCTACTAGATGGACGTTACGATATACTTCTCTGTGCTCTGTTATGGATAACTACAATGAGCTATTGACATTTTTGTCAGATTTTTCAAAAACTGAACACAATGATGCAGATTCAAAGGCAAATGGATTTTTCAAACAATTAAAAACTGCAGATACTTATATAATGCTTAAAATAGTGATAAGTATTTTTAAACACATGGAGACTACAAATACAGTATTGCAAAGTAAATCATTAGATTTTAAACTTTCTGTTCAAATTTTGAATACTTTAGAAGATACTATTTCAAATTTGAGAGATACATTTCACATTTTATGGAAATCTGCAAAGAAAGAATGGTCAGATTTAAAATTAGATGCACCAAAGGAATCTAGAAAACGAAAAAAACCTCAAAAATATGAAGACGGAGTAACGAAGTCCTTTGAATTTTCACCTGAAAGTAAATATAATCAAATATATAAAGAAATCATTGATCATATACTTTCTGGCTTACAACTAAGATTTAACTCTGAAATTCGATCATTTTTATGTAATGTGGAAATGTTTTTAATTGATCCAAAAATATCTCCCGAAATAATATGTACATTTTACAAGGATGATATAAATATTGATAAGCTAAAACTTCATAGAGATATGTTTCATGATATAATTAAAGGCCAAGGATTAATTGTTTCATCATTCGCAGATATATTAAATATTTTTAAAAATAAATCGTATTTAGTCATTCATTTAACAGAGCTCAGGAAATGCATACAATTGATATTAACAGTACCAGTTACTACATGTACTACCGAACGATCTTTTTCTATGTTGAGGAGGTTAAAAACTTATACCAGAAGTACCATGACGCAGACCAGGTTAAATGATCTGGCACTTCTAAATTGCCATAACACAGTAGCAGAATCTTTAGACCTAAGCAAAATAGGAAATATGTTCATAAATAAGTGCATGACAAGAAGAAATACTTTTAAATTGAAAAAAATATAATTTTAGATTGTAAAATTGTCATCATAAAATGTAATGTATTGTAATTAAGTTAGAAAATAAATTGTATTTTCATAATTTCATGTAATTTTTATTTTTATTTTCATTTATCTGAACCCAATAAAGAGAATTGGAATAATATTCATGAACAATAGTATAAATATTTTATTTGCCCCCGTGCTAAAATATAAAAGTCGGCGCCTATGCTTGTAACGATATCCTCATGTTCACGTTTCCATAACTACGTGTTCACGTTTTTACCATTCAAATATATACGTATAATGCACATGTATTTGGTATATATTGCCTACGATGCGTATTAGAAAAAAGAACCAGCGAACGCTAATGATGTGACGAGAACATATCTGATTGAAAAGCGAACAAAAAAAAAACATCCCTGGGGCCAAAATGAAAAATTATGAACGGATGAATATTGAGGCATTCTAGTAATTTATTAGAATTCCATTAAATGTTAAGTTGGATGTACACATACCTCATACCTAATATGTGACTTGTATGTTATTGATTTGTATTCAACAGGAATCTGGATACTGGGTTGTCACATAGTAAGCTGTGTTACTGTTTTAATCGAATTTAGGTGTAGGTACGATATCATAGTATTGTCCTTGATAAGCTCGATTAAAATAATACTGTAATTCAAATGCTGGAAAAACATTAAAAAAATAAAATTAATCATATCACTTCTTCGAAGTATCATTTATGAATTATGACTTGTACTTAAATTAGTATAAATATAGTTTATTGTTATATGTAATGTGTATAAAATGTAAACATTTTAATCGCAGAATAAAAAATAAAAAATATAATTAAAATAAATACATATACACCTGCCTTCACCTATCATTTCAAATAGGTTTACTTGGGATCCCATTAAAACAGACTGAATGTGAAAACATTCATTATATACTTGCTAACACTCAACGATATAAATTTCCTCTATGATTGGTTTAACCTGAACAGATTACCTTTAAATGTTTCTAAAGACCTTCTCGAAAATACGAACACCATATCTTTATAACTTCTACTTAAATGAATCTGAACTCACTCGTGTCTATAAAAATAAAGACCTAGATATAATCTTTGATGCATCATTTAATAAGAGTTATGTAAGTATTCGAAATAAAGCTTCTTTTATGCTAGGTTTTATAAATCAAAGCTGAGTGGATTCTTAACACTTTATTGATCAAATATATGGTCAATTTTAGAATACAACTATTGCTTGGCCACCGAGTAGAGAGGACTGTTACAAACAATAGAGTGAATGCAAAATCCTTTTTTGATATTTTGGTCTTTTAAATGCAACATTCAACGCCACTTCATTCTTCTTATCAGACACTATGAGTTGAAACTATCAAACAATAAGCCTTGCGAACGTTTAAATATTAAATTTTGATAAAACAATATAATACATAAAAAAAAATTTATAAAGTTTTCAATTTTTATATTTAAGGCTTAAAAATTAGAGACAAAATTCATTATGAGATTTTCTTAAAAAAAAAAAAAAAAAAATAGACAAAAAAAATCTACCGGAAAGTATCAAAAAGTTTATAAATATTACAAAATTAAATTTTGATATAATCGGATATTTCAACGAATTTTTATTATTTATTAGTTTTTAAAAGATATTTTAATAACATTTCTAGTGTAATTTTCGATATTTTTAAATTTTAGATGTCATTTTTTTTGGAAAAATAAGAACATTAAAAGTTTAATTTACTTTATTAAGAAATTTTGTTCTTTTACTATATCAACCATCTTTAGAAATATAAATCACTTTACTGGGACTCTTTCACTTAGAATTGTTTTTTCGAAAGCAATAATAGATTGGTTTCAAGTTTAAAAGACCAATACATCAATTCACTTATTACAGTACCTCACTCGACCATGGAGTCTCACCAGACCTAGAAGTTTCACCCAATTTCCTGGAAATTAAAGGTATCAAAATATTAATAACAACTCTGAAGGTTTATAGTTTCAAAGTTTACCAAATCTACTTAATAATAGTCAGTAAACTATTTTAAGTAAATGTAAAAGTTTTATATTAAATTAATTAATTTTTTTTCTGTATAATAAATATGGCGATATATTATATTTCTTAAACTGGGCAGTAAAAATAATACTCAATGAAATTAATAAAAAAATTAAACATTTCAACATTTTAACTTATATCTGAAACTATAATGTAATAAATTCAATACGAGTATTTATTCATAAAATAATATTACTATTTTTATTTTAAATAATATTAGTATGAAATAAATTATTTGTAAAAATAAGATGAAAGCGTAAATCATAATTGAAATACGCCCCATAATAAATAAATATAGTTGTAATATATTTATGCAAATAATTCATAAATATATATATTTCAGTTCATTATTTATTTTTATATAATCTCACGTGTTATTTATCCCTGTAAATCGATATGGTTTGTATCTGCAGCAGTATGTAATAATAATGTTGTTCAAGCTCTTTTTACGCACCAAAATTATACCGTTCATAAATATATTTTGGACAAATACCATCTGGATGAATCCAGAGCAGTCTATAATGTTTCGCATGAACGAACTATAGATAGGTACTTAAAGTTTCCATCTTAGATTATCAGCACTGTAAATACTGGTGCGATAATGTAAGAACTTTTAATACGGATTTACGGATAAGCATAAGAAGTTCATCGGTCACAGAAAGTAAGTGATGTATGTTATGTATGGTGAATAAAGTTTTAAAAAAAATCTATCTTCAAAATCCCCAATGAATTGACTCGTCTGATTCATAGTCGCATTTTGTGGTCTTAAAAGTAAAATGAGGATAAATTCCGTTTGACATCAGGGCGCAACCTACTGTACACTTTATAGCTTTATAGAATTTTAGTCTCCAATAAATCATTAAACACGAATACATTTTTTTGTGTTAATATTAAATACGCTCCAACGTGTTGCTATTATAATTATTAAAACCTGTAAAAACAACATTTTAAACGTGACTAATAGAAACAGTTTATATTTTTTATGGCTCCTTGAATACAGTTTGTGATATTTTGTCTGTATTTCAAGTGCAACATTATAATATACTGCCGTGTAAAGTCGGAATAGCCAGCTGGCCACTCCAATCGAGTGATTGACATAATATTATTATAATTACAGCAGTCGAACAATACAACTTGTGGTACGCTATACGAAGTATTAAATAGAAATCAGTAAATATTTTTACAGAAATCATAACAAATAAGAAAAAATGAATTCAGTGGTTCTCGGAAAAAACATTACAAGTCAAAAAAACTATATAATTTTTTATAATTTATAACTACTTATTTTAATGTAAATGAATTTATTATTTTTGATAGTATATATAAAATGTTGATCTATGTTATGGATAAAAATTTAAACTGTCTTATTTCTTATGTGCAGTTTAATTTCAATTTTTAACTAAAAAAATTCTAAATTTTGACTTCGCAAGTTCTACCCAAACATCGCTGAATTATTGTTCGCTGCGAATAAAATAAGAGCATCGAAAATACCGAAAAATTATATAAAAACACATAGTTATTAGTCGGCCTCCGTCGCGTGACTGAATAATGATATTATAAATGATACCTTATCTAATCAATAATCAACCACTTTTATATACAAATATTATAGTTGATCAATAACCGGGTAAATAGACACGTAGTTTAAAACATTATTGCATATAAGTATCGAAGTGTAAAAAATTCATGTTTTGACAATCCATAAACCATTGATTTTATCTTTTGTTATCTAACTAAACAACACGCGTTTGAAAGGTATTAACAACAATTATACGTAAACAGTTTTCGTGCGAAGAGCATGCATGATAATATCAATTTCAAGTGATTAAGCTACAAGAGTAGATTTTATAGCGAAAAATATACTTTATACTTCTCGAAGAATAAAATGCGTACATATATAATATTTATACACATGAAGAAAATGATAGTTTAATAATAATAGGATTTGAAAAATTATTGACTAGAGAGAACATCGGTATGTGCAGAACCGCGCGTAAATATCTTCGGGGAAGACGCTTGACGATCGTAAAAAAAAACACCTGAAATCCTCGGGCGAACATATAAACGCCAAAAGCCTTGTATAAATTTCCTTTAATAAGACGTGCTGCCGTTGAATAATTTATCCGGCTCTAGACGCGAGATCTTTCGCTCGGTCACGAGCGAAGCGAATGCGTATAAATGGTGCAGCGGTGGCGGTGGTGCCAAGGGAGGTTCGAGGTAGAAATAAAACAGCATTCGCACGGTCCATAAACAGGCGCACCTATAATATAATGCGAGGATATTGGCCTCGGGTTGTTAAAGTTTATGCCATTTTGCCTTTTTTTCACTCTTTTTCTCTCTCTCCCTCTCAATCTTTCTTTTTATTATTCTCCGTTCACCCGTTTTTAATAGACCTCAAACGCAACGGCAGGCTGCGGTACCAATTTATATAGCGTCTCGGTATAGGGGGATTCGGTAGACCGACATCATATTGTGATTATTATTATTTAAACTGACCAAACTCTTGGGCACACGTGCCAGAACTATTCAGAAGTCATACCCTTGTCTCTTAAATAAGCAAGCTTTTAAAAAGAAATAAACGTTTTTACAAGTATCGTTTTCCGATATTATACTAAATATAAATAATATTATAATACTTTTGAACAAATAATACTTCCGTGGTTTTTCATATTGTAGTATCTGTAAATTTATTATAAGTGTATTCATATTTGTAAAAATCAACACCAAATACAGTATGTTTGTGATAGTATTGATAATTCGTGGGTACCGATAATATTTCAAATTGTCATTAAATAGTAAATATCCACAACATTTTATCACAGA